TCTTCTTATCAGGGAGGGCGGTGCCCCAGCGCCCCCTATGGGCCGGCCGCCACTGTCGCCCGGTAATCTGATCGCAGCGAGTGGTCCAAGCATTTCCTGGCGGGAAACATTGCCCTTCGGATGTGGCTTTTACCCGGTTCGGCTCATGGCTCATTGCCTTTGGGGTTCAAACTCTGGGTCTCTGCCTGCGGTAACTGACTGTTATCCATCGCAGTTCTTATTGTTTTGGAGCCCTGTCCATATAGATATAGAAATCCATCTGGAGCTGCGGCTATACTAAACTGTGCAACTAGCTAGGGTTTGTTGTTTTATGAAATAAAATATTTCATAAAAAAAATAAACAATGCTTTGAATCAGCTTTATTGCCATCATGCACTTTAATAAAGCCATACAACACAGAAAACAAGCCGTTTCAACTTTGGTATATTGAATCCAACTCATGCTGTGAGAGCAGGATTGATGATAAAAGAATCTGCCGAGAATCGATCCGAACATAGTTTGCTGTATCGGTTTGGACGCCACCGACTGTCCAGTTGATTTTTGTCTAATCTATCAGTACAATAGACCATTGTAATGAGTGCTTAACAATGTGTGAAGTAGAGATAAGATGTCACAGCTGTGTTTCGTCATGTGACTGCTCTAGAGGCGCCAAGCATACTGTACAATTCTCTCCAGTTTTATTACTTGGAGCATTTTCAGCTCGATTTAGACCAGCCACATTGAAAGAAGACAGGAAATTCTACTATCACACACAATAGTTGAGCAAAAGCATTTAGTGAGGTCTTAATATTTGTTGCTCTCGGGGCCTTCAGAAATTACCAGGATGTAGACTGTGTCGAAGGGTTTATATGGAGACAATATGCTTTGGAGATATTTTTTACTACTAAGTGGATAGTGAATAATGGAAATAAAGCTTGGATTCACACTATTAGGTATCTACCATCTGTGTCTAAAAGCAAAATGCTGTAGGCAGGCTCCCACATGCACAGTAAATACTGGGAAACAAATTGATGATTTCACAATCACATAGGATTTCTGACAAGTCCGGGGAGGAACTGACTTTGTGTTCTTGCAGCCTGCTTTGACATGTTGATCTACCTCTAAGCCATCTGAATGTTCCACTTACCGTTGATGTGGGCTGTTTGAGTGACAGTATTCATTCACACATAGCTTAACTTGGTTGAATATGAATGTTGCGGATTTCACAGAACCGGCTAAAAGAACACGAGTTTGACTCCATTGATCTGAGTGTATATGTACTGGTTAGAACTGGACACAAAAAAAAACATATTTTTCTGTAGCGTGACAAGATTTTGATGTAATCTACTTTTATTTCCTTGAATTTAACAGCTGTTTACCAAAATGCCAGATATTTTTTTCAGATCCGAGCTCAACAATAAACATTTAAAAATGAACATCATGGATCATTGTGTCTTTTCCTATGTGACGCGCTTCATTAAGAGTCCCTGTGACCTTTCAGATGGGCAGTCCTTTGTAATATGGAAAACTGAATCTACCCCCTGTCAGGGAGTTAACCAAAACAATAAGAGAAATACAGGGAAGTTTGAGGAAAAAATGGAAACAGATTTATTTACAAAAAAGAAATCTGAACTCTAAACACAAATCTGGGCCCAAAAAGAAAATGAGGTAAAAAAATCAAAACCTAAAACAAGCAACTAAATTAATTGACCAAACAAACTGACACACAAGGGTAACATATATATTGGCTTTTCAGGCCATTTGGACACAACAGGGAACATTTACATATATTTACCTAAACAAAACTACAACACACACTTTGGTTGGTAGGGTGAAAACTCCTGTTTAGCCGAGAAGATGCATCCAGCCCAACAGGTGTAGGTGCAACTACAAAGTACAACAAAAACTGAATTGAAAAAGCTTCCTGGAT